ACGTGCCTCACACGCACATACTACCATGCATTGGGAACATCTCCCATACTTGTAAGTTATTTTTCACGGGAGATGTTCCCAATGCACAATGGATGTGCATGTGAGGCGCCCAAGTGTGAGGAGCAGATCTCGTTCCCATTCCACTATATACTGGGAACATCTCCCAATGAATAACAATACGGAATTGGGTCCTTATAGAGTGCACCTCACACCAACCTCACAACCACATCCCACCATGTATGGGGAACATCTCTCCATGAATAATAAATACAAGTATATAGAGGTGTAAATCGGGTCATGCCACATGTGTCTCGACACAATTTTGACCCGATTTTGGATTGGCCCGACACGATGGAACGTGTGGCGTGCCAGGTATGACACAATTTATGCGGGTCATGTTGGGCTGGGGCTTTCAGGTTCATGGGCCGGCACGGCTCAGCACGTGGCACAATATGTGGCATAGTACGACCCATGGGCTGAGTGTAGCCCGTCCGAGAAAATAGCTGTTGGGGTAACAACTAGTTTGGGACTTTGAGGGCAAGAAATCATACTGTATCGACCAAATCATCAAATCATCCCTATACATTATTGAATTGTAAAATTTTAAGAAAAACCCAAAAAACAACCTCCAAAACTCAAGATTTTTGAGTTTTTTTTCTTAACTTTTTACAAAAATTGCAAAAATAAATACTTTTTTTTCAATTTGTTCGATATTATTATATATATACACTACTTTAAAAAGCACGAATGGCCTCAAGAATATCTTTGGAATTTTTTGAAGACAAAAATTACCCTTCTATATTTAAATTTATTGATAAAAATGAGGGCAAATAGGGTAATTGGTTATTGATATTAAATGAGTTGAAAGGAGGTGATTTTAAGATATTCAAAGCATTCAATTCCTTCTCATTAAATCCAACATTTAAGTTATTAACTTGCATCCATGTTCATTGAATCATATATTTAAGTCATTTTTGTTTCTTCTCAAGTTCACACTATTAAGTTCTATTAATTAAATCCATACTTAATAAATTAATAATTCCAATAACATAAAAGCTTATACTTTTAAAATCTACATAGAAAAAATAGTATTTTCATCTAGGTGGTGGTAAGAAATTAAACTATTTTGGGTCAATCCATATTGCCATGATTAATTAATAAAATGAAAAAAAATTGGGAACATTTTTAACATATATATTAAACAATAATAAGTATGATAAATAAACATGTTTTTTTTTTAATGATAGAAATGGAATGTAAAATCTAATTGGAACTACAAATATTTTCCTATTCTCTCTCATTAAATCATATATTTAAGATATATTTTTCTCGTCATTAAATTCTTGTAATAATATTAATAGTATAAAAATATATATTTCGAAAAGTAATTTGAAAACAATGCCATTTTCTTCTCTCCCGGTGGTGGGCAAGCAATTTGGCCATTTGAGGTCCAATGGGTTAATAAATAATACCTTAATTAAATAATAAAAATTTAAAGAAAATAAGTATAAAATGTAAGAAGTATTTTTAGTAATGATGAAAATTGAATGCCAAATTTAAAATCTACCTAAAAATGAAATGATGTCATTAGGGGTGAGCGAAAAAGACTGAAAAACTAAATCGAAAAGGCAATCGAAACTGAACCAAAACTCTGGTTAACCAAACTGGTCGGTTCAGTTTTGGTTCCCTATTCTTAAAAAACCGCAAATTTCAGTTCGGTTTTAGTTAACCTTAAAAAAAGCAGCAATTAACCAAACCGCCTAATATATATATATATATACAATAATATATTATGTATTATATATTATATTATTTTTTTCAAGTATAAATAAACCCACTACCATTTGACTTTTTGAGTTTCCCCCTTTCCCCTTCTTCGATACCTAAAGGCTAATACCAAAACTGAAAACCCTTGCTTTCTTCTTATTCATCTTCCTTCCCAATTCCCCTTGCTTTCCTTAGGCGCCAATCGTCATTTTCCGTCATTCAACATCGGCGTCAGGCGATGGTATATATATATATATATAGAGAGAGAGAGAGAGAGAGAGTGAGAGAGAGAGAGAGAGAGAGAAATTTTTTGGGCGCATATTTAATGTTATATATTTATAAAAAAAATAAAATATTGGGTACATCTCTAATATTATGCATTCATTATATTAAACAAAAAATAAGTATTATATATAAGAAATAATTTTATCAGTGATGAAAATGTAATACGAAATTTAATGTCAACTTAGAAATGAAATTATTATTCTTTTTGAGTGGTAGGTTAGTGGTTTGGGTCAAATGATATCATAAACAAACAAAAATTAAGTGTGATAAGCAGTGATAAAAATGTAATACGAAATTTAATGTCAACTTAGAAATCAAACTATTATTCTTTTTGAGTGGTGGGTTAGTGGTTTGGGTCAAATGATATCATAAACAAACAAAAATTAAGTGTGATAAGTACAAATTATTTATACAATATAATGTAAATGAAATATATAATTTAAAGGGAAAAGTTAGTTAAAGTCGGTTGTACATTTTAAAATTAGGTTGCAAGTTGGTCTATAAACCAACAAAACTCTAACAACTGGCTCTACATTTCAAATTATAAAAGCCCCCACCATGTCATCGAAGGCTTATCTGGTTGTTACCAACATACAACTCTTAATCCATGTTGGACACAACAAAAAGCCTATATCAAAAATAGGTTTTTAATTTCTCTCCCACTCCCTCTGTCTCTCGATCTCCCTCCCTTCTATCTCACTCTCATAGTCATCTCTCGATCTCCTACTCTCTCTGTCTCTCCCACTCTCACAACTTTGGTCTGTAGCCAAATAAAAATCTCTTTATCTCTCTCTCTCTCATTCTTCTCCCTCAGTCTTTCTCCTTCTCCCTCTCTCGTTATTTTTTTAATTTTTTTTACAAACTTATACAATATTAATTAGATAGTATAAAAAAACTAAAGGACCAACCACTTGTACAATCAAGTTATAAATTTCTATCAAGTTGGTGTAAATTTCATTGTAAAGAGTTTCTTGTGAATTTTTATCAAATTGGTGTAACGATTTTTTGAACCATACCAAGTTGGTCCTATGTTCTTTTATACAGTCTGATTAATACCATATAAGTGTGTAAGAAAAAAAAAAAGAATGAGAAAGGGAGCGGGAGAGAAACAGAGGGAAAACAACAAAAATTAAGGGAGGATGAGAGATCGGTCGAGAAAGATAATGAGAGAGATTGAGGGAGAACGATAGGTAAAGAGAGAGAGATAATGATAGAAATTGATAGTGATAATGTAAATACCAAAATCGAAAACCAGTTTTATTTATTTTCAAATCACATAGTTGTTGAGTAGAGAGAGACGACTGTGAAAGAGAGAGTGGGAGGGGAGAGAGCAAGAGGAAGAGAAACTAAAAACCCTTTTTTTATTTTCCAATCACCCAACATTAAAGGGCAATTTTGGTATAAGATTTTTGCTGTGTCCAATATGGATTAAGAGTCCCATATTGGTAACAACCACATAAACTTATAATGAGATAGTGGGGGGTTTTATAATTTGAAATGTAGAGCAGGTTGTTAGAGTTTTGTCGGTTTTAGGACCAACCTGTAGCCTAATTTTAAATGTACAACCTACTCTGACTATAATTTTACCTAATTTAAAACTAATCCAAAATCAAGCTATTTTTTATCTAGATGGTGAGTCAATGATCCAACTTTTCAAAAAACCCATAATGCCATAATTGAATAATAAATATTTAAAAAATGATAGAGCACAAAAAAATAAAATTGTACAGATTTTGTAGAAAACATTTGAGAACATTTTCAATGTTATATATTCATCATATTAAATAAAAATAATTGTTAAAATAAAAGTTAATTTTATTTATGATAGAATATATATATATAATCTCATTATGTTGAAAATCCTATATTTTTTGGTGTAATATGCCCATGTAATTATGTCATAAATCTATTGGTGATTTACCATATCCATAAATCCATTCAAAATTTTAAAATATTCATTATTTGTTTGTAATTTTTTGAATAAAATATTTATTTTTTCAAGTTTAGTATGAAAGAAATATTTTTTTAACTAAACATATTTATTTTTTAATTTTTTGTAATTTTAGATGTTTTTCCAATTTTTAATTCATAAATCCATTAAAATTTATTGTAAAATACTTTTTATTTTTTATTTTTTTGTAATACTTATTTTTTTTTCTAATTTTTGGTGTGATCTAACCATAATATTTACCATGTTGTAAATCTATGAATGATCTACCAACATCCATAAAATTATTTTTCTATTAAATTTTACTTTTTTAATTTTTATAATAAAAATAAAATAATTGTTTGAATAAAAAATAAATAATTGTTTAAAAATTATAAAAAATATTTTATTAAATATTTATTAAACTTATATTTTATAGTTATAATCTTATTAAAGAATACATTATGTTGTTTCCGGTTTCCATATATTAATTATGACATTTTTAACTAAAAATCTCTAAAGATGTAATTTTTATGTATATAGTTTTTTAGGCCATCTACACCGATATTCTCAACCTACGATTGAGTGAGAATGGCCAGCAATGCCCTATATATATAAATCCGAACTCGTACGAGATGCTCTCCGTGAGGAAACAGATTCGTTCTCAATAATACAAAGTACGGGAGTGGGAGATGTTTTCCATGTACACTAGGACATGTAGTGAGGTTAGTGTGAGGAGCGATATAAGAATGGCAGATCAGCCGGACTCAGCGAATCCATGACGCGACGGAATCACGGAACGTTAGACAAACTGCAACCACGGTTTGGAGTCGGGACTTCGATGGAATATTCAAACTTGTGGTATCCAACATGCGGCAAGTGTGTCCCGCGGAGAAACCCTAACCCATTACTCAACTCATAGCTAAGTAGTAGCTAACGCCAGCCCTAAACTAAAGAGTTCCACACGTGAGAAAGGCAAAGAATGGAGCGCCGCAAAAACTTGTTAACACATACACACGAGTGTTCTCGCTAGAGAAGTTCTTTGTCGTCCGTTTTTCTGCCACGTCATCGATCCGGGAAAATCATGTTTCGACGGCTGAGATCATGGTTGCAGAGCCACTGCTAGAACTCAGAGAAACTCCTCTATTCCCTCTTCTCTATCTTCCCCCTGTTTTTTGTAATTTCGATTTTTATTTTCCTTTTTCTTTTTTTCATTTTTATAGAAATTTCTGTGAAAAGTAGAAAAAATAGCTTGTCTGAAGATGAAGATCATGGAGGAAGGAACTGAATTTGAGAAAGAGAAGCTTAAGATTTTGAATGGCAAAAGCCATGATGTTTATGCTGTTGATGACGAGGAGGAGGAAGAGGACGGCGAGGAATATCAAGCGGTCGGACCGAAGAACGATGGGTTAGAAGACGAGGAGGAAGACGGGGACGACGACGACGATGAAGAGGAAGATGATGAAGAGGAAGATGAGGACGATGATGGCGTTGAAGAGGTTCCACGCTCCGCCGGTGCTCCTAAAGTTCAGTCTGTAGATGATGACGAGGATGATGATGAGGATGACGACGACGATGAGGATGAAGATGATGATGGCGAGGGCGATGGGGACGATGACGACGATGACGACGAAGACGACGACGATGACGACGATGAAGAAGGGGAAGAGGAAGAGGTAATACTATTCCATCTGTTTTACTTCCATTTTCTGTTATTCTCTGTTTTAATACTCCGAGTCTGAGGTCTCCTCCTGCCTCCTTCCTTTTACTTTTTTTTTTTTCTTCTTTCTCTCTGAATCTGAATCTAGGTCTCCTTCCTTCTCATTCCGTTGTTAAATTTGATTTTTGGAGTTTTCTTCCCTTTTTTAAATTATCGTGCTTATTATTGATGGATCTTCTGTGGTTTACTGTTTCTTCCTAAAATTTTCATGTAGTTAGTTTCTTTGCAGTGTATTTAGCCCGTAGACCGTGTTAAGAGGAAGGAACAGTTTTCATCAATCATCATTGCTGTAGCTTTTTATGCTTTATATTTGTGTAGTTTGTATTACATAAATGCTTTTTAGGGCTTTTCTGTTCAGTTTGTTCATGAAACGGGCCTATATATTTGGGGATTTTGTTCGAGTCTGGAAGGCGAGATGTAAAGAACCATAGATTTAGATGAAAGGGAAACTTTTCTTGAATATAGTTGATATAGTCTTCTCACTTTATATTTTCTTCTATCTCTTCAAGCCATGCGTAGTTTGATGAATATGCACATATCCTTTGGTTAGTATTGATAGTCAGTTTTTTTTGGAAACTTATCTGTTTGTTTTTTGTCCTCTCTTACTGCCTTTTACTTATTATTATTACCCCACCACCTGGAAACGGAAAAAGGGAAATCATTCTCTTTGTGTATTTATTGGGTATCGTCTCTGTTTCCCTGAAAGTTACTTGGTAGTTGTAATTTTTCCTTCATGGTTTCAGTGTTGTTTTTGTGGCCTTCATCTGCAACTCCCCATGAAGACGATCATCGTATGCTATTTAAAAAGTTGTTAATATTTTTTCTTCTGCTGATTTGCTTGATCTGAAAAGAAAATTAAACGAATGGGCATATTTGATATTTGCTGAGAGAAAATAAGGAGGACCAAGATGACTTTTGCAGTACGAGTCCACCATAGTCCTACCTGTGGTAGTGTGGTGCACATGCAAAGGGGTTCGGGATCTGACAGGTCTGACTCACCTAAGAGATCTCCTTTGGCCAAAATTTACTAGTGAATGCTATGAACCTTCTGATCTGTGTACTGTTATGTTATCTATGACCATGCAAAAGAATGTAACTAAGCTTATTGATAGGACCCTCCAGCCACATGATAACTTGCCATGAGATTTTTTATTTTTATTTTTTATTTTGTTCTTGATGGGATCCTAACCCCCTTTGCATGTGTGCCACTGGCAAGATGGATGTTAGGTCACTGATGTGGTGTTCCTCTTCTTCTAATTCCTGCATTTGATTTGTGTTGTTGATGAGGATCTTATCTAGTACATTGAAGTCTGCCCCATATCTAGCCACCATGTACCCATGGTTCCATGATTTTGGGTTGTTTTGACTGGATGGTTAGGGATGTAGTCTGTCTGTTGGGATGTAATTTCCTGGTACTTATTTTAGGCTATGTTCCTTAAAATTGTTAACTTTTCTATGCTATTTGGATTTATGTTTTTCTTTTATCCAGCAGTTTATCTTTTGTAGCTTGCCAAGACACCCATATGCCAGAACAAGTCATCACTGTTATTAGGAATCGTGCCCATCTTTCCTATTTTACTACCAGTGCACTGGTATTTGACAAAATTTTTTCTGAGCACCGTATATGCTTTATTCAACATTTCCTCTTCTTACTTCACCATTTTGATCTTTACAATTCTAAAACAATAGCCCTGATTTATTTGTTTAGATTTTGCCTAGCCTCTTATCTCTCATAGATATCCATCCATGGTTTCTTTTCATTTTTCTTTTGAAGAAGAATGTTCATTACTTAATTAGTAGTTTTTCCTTACTTTTTCTATTCATCTATTGGTATGTATTGTTCCTTCTTTTTATTGGGGAAGGTATAGTCGTATAGGTTTCTTCAAAGTTCAAACTCTAGTAATCATATTTTTACCACCAGGGTGAGGCTTATGACATCTTCTAGGATAAACAGTAAAGTAAACTAACTAGATTCTTGAACTAACCCTCAGATTCAGTGCATAATCACAATCAGTTCAACATATGCTTACAATGGCATAGATATGTGTAGATCCAGTTAGTGGCAAATGTTTCTCCTCTTTCTCTTTAGTCAAAATCCTTAACATTAGCATTTTATCTGCTCTTAATACTACCCAAAGGATTGGCTTTTGTGACCTGAGCAATTTTTATTCTCTGGAATAATTTAAGTCTTTTTTCTTTTATGCTAATGACCCCTTTCTCATTCAAACTTGGAGTGTTTTTATTATAGCTTATAAAGTTGCCCTCATCTAGCAAGTGACTTGTAGAAAGAAATTACTACTGTGGCACTAATTTCACTTATGATTCTCAGACCTTGTTTTGCTATAATGAGGTTTCTATTTGTGATATATTTTCCCTCATATTTATATAATTATATTTATTAAGAAGAAAAAAGAAAATTATTATTTTTTCTCTTATTTAGCATTGCATGCTTCAGCACCTATAACTATTAATTTTTTTCTTCCCTCCTTTTGTGTAGTTTCTTGTGCTGAAGGGCTGTTGACATCTTTCTCTTCTGAAGCTCTTTCTTTTTTGATCATCCAGTGGTTAATTTGTTGAGCATGCAATGCAATATAGTAGTTTAATCCATTTTGGACGAAATAACATCTAATGTGATCTCTGTGAGCTATCTAACAGATCGTTGGAGCATCTCACCCCTCACGTCACCGTATCTGCTTTTACACTTTTATAGGGTGTATATTGTAAACCAGCACTATCGATTTTGCCATTTGAAGCATCCCCTGGTTCATTGTTTCGGTTTTTTCTGAGTGTGTTTTCAGTATGTTTCTGACCATATTTATCTATTGAATAATTATACAGGAGGATATGGGAACAGAGTACCTTGTCCGACCAGTAGGTCGAGCTGAAGACGAGGAAGATGCTAGTGATTTTGAACCAGTGGAAGAGAATGGGGAGGATGATGATTTTGAAGATGATGATGATGATGATGATGATGATGGAAAGGGTGAGGTTTCAGCAAAGAGGAAGAGGTCGAGTAAAGATGATTCGGATGATGATGACGAGAGGCCTTCCAAGCGATAGGACAGGGCTCTACGGGTTGAAGACTGACAATTCAGTCCTGCGTCATGGTGTCTCCTTTTCAACTCTACAGAACCTGTTTGTAGAAGTAAACGACGTTTCATGGATTCTCTATTTTCTCTCTCTTTTTCTTTTCTTCTTTTTTTTTTTCCCTTGTGCTGTCTGTCATGGTTGAAATGTTTGGGGGTTTTTTGGGTGAAAATTCAAAATTAGGCTAGGACTGGTTTGCCTAAGTTGATACTATGTACTGTAAGGCTGTAAGCAGTTGAACGATTTATGGTATGTAGATGTAAACGGTTTAGAGTACATTACCGTCAAGTAGTTCAGTTTTTCTTGTCTAATTCCTTCTTGAGGATTTGGTCGAAAATGAAAACATGGTTCCTCAGCTCGGTTGTCCTATTTCTCCTTTTTTTTTTTTGATTGGCTATTTCTTTCTTTTTCTTCCTTGTTATTCCCATAATTCCATTGTTTCAGGGTTGCTATTCGAGTTGGCCCGAGTTAGGGCTGCAAACGGTGTCCAATTATCGCAATTTGAATCTGGTCCTATTAAGGGTGATTTGAATTTGATTTGTTTATAATTGGACCGAATATGGATTTACTCCTATTTAAATATATATGTTCATATATACTTAAAATTTAGGGAAAATTCTCGATTAGTATCCTTTAATTTGGGCCTAGTGTCACTTTGGTCCCCGAACTTTAAAATGCAACAATATCTAAACTTTTAAAACATGATAATCCAGTACCTACCGTTAAATAGATGTTAATTAGGTGTTAAATGGCATTTGAAAAAAAACACAAATGCCCTTCGAGTGTTAAATTTTCTTTATCAATCATTTAAATGTTGACAAAAAATTAACAGTCCCATTTGAGTTGGCATTTGTGTTGGGATCATGTTTTTCATTTAAGAAAGTTGGGATCACATTTGAGTTGGCATTTTGTAGGGATGATCATGGGTCAGGTTGGGCCGGGCTTTGTATTTATGATAAGGGCAATAGCTTAGGCCTGGGCCCGGCCTGACCCGGGGTTCCAGGCTTGTAACATAAGCCCTAGCCCAGGTCTACATGGGCCTGATTCCGGGTCAATGTCTTTCAAATATAAAGCATTACATATCTATAATATTTTGTATAAATGACATGACATGCATATAAACTTTTATTTATATATTATATATTATCAAATATTATATATAATATAAATTATACATGTGATGTTATAATATTTATATATAAAATATATAATATAATGTAAAATAACATGTATACATTATACACAAAATATGTAAGTTTAAATATATGCGGGCTGGGCCGGGCTGAAATGATCACTCTTAGCATTTTGGTGATTTTGACTTTCTTGAATAGAAGAGGCAAGGATTTGAGACTGTTAATTTTTTGTCAATGTTTAGATTGTTGATAAAGAAAATTAGATGACACTCAAAAGGCATTTTTGTCCTTTACAAGTGCCACTTAATGGTTGATTAACAACTAGTTAACAACATGTATTGGGTTTTGAAAGTTTGGGTACTGAATTATTGCATTTTAAAATTCGAGGACCAAAATCACACTAGGCCCAAATTACATGATACTAATTGGTCTAAATGTTGTATTTTTATTAAATTGTATTCCTTATCCTGAGTTCGCTTTTTAGTTTTTACACTACTTGTAACTTTGGCCTCTAGGTTGGGCCCATTCAAATTCTGACAAAAATCCAAACCATGCCCACTCAAGTAATTTGCACCACTTTTTAGACAAACCATAATTTTTATGCGCCCAAACAACTGGTTGGGTTTATGTACATAAGCTGGTATGTAGGGCTAAAGTTTAAGATCTACCAATATTAGGATAGTTAGAAATAATTTTTGACTCTTATAGTTCTAAGCGATATTGGCGAAATTAGAACTGCAAAGGAATCGGATCTTGTTTATCCAAATTTGATTTATTAACAGTTGGTTCTGATAGAATGGAATCTTATCTATGTGATTTATATCGGACTTAATTGTATTGACATGTTGAATAGAATTAATAAACAAAATTATTTAAAATTAAGTGAAATGTTATACACTACAATGAACTAAAATTAGGAACCGTTTGGCAAGTCTTTCTGGGAAAATCTTCTAATGGTTCTGATAGTTAAAAGACGTATTGAGCTTTTGCATTAAGATCTGAGCGGCCTGAAGCTAGGGGTGTCAATTGGATTGGATTTGGTCCAATCCGGTCCAGTCCATTACAAATGGACTTGGTCCAATTCAGTCCAATGAATATTTTGGACTGGTCTACAGATTGATCAATCTGTTCAAATTCCTATTAATTTAGATTGGTTTCAACTCAAACTTGGTCCATTGACAATTACGTTCTTATTTTCTATCAATGGACCAAATATTGGCTTAATCCAATATAAATTCATTATGGACGGACCAAGTCCAATCCAATATATCATATTGTTCCGTCCAGTTTGTCCAAATTCAATATGTCTTATTGGTCCGTCCAATCCATCCAAATGGATTTTGATTTGAACGATGTCCAACCCAAAACCGGTCCATTGACACCCCTACCTGAAGCCCGTTTGGTTAAGGCGTGTCTTTCCGCAAATCGCCCTTTTTGTGCTTCTTGTGTCTTTTCAACGTATCAGCTCGATCTACCGCGAGCTAAATGGGAAAAGAACGAATTGCGGTTTGCCAAGCTTGTAAATAACTGATAGATCGCGCAAAAAGATACGTCAAACGGAGCCTTAATTCTTAATAGATATATTATAAATTTTAAATATGGGTTCTACTATGATATTGGAAATACATGATATCAATCAATATTATAAAATGCACAAGGGTAAGTTTAATTGTCTAAAAGACATGATACTAAAAGAGTTTTAATCAATCAAAACCCCTATGAAATTTGATAAATACCACATCATTAGTTATTATTATGATACTAGTTGATTGTTACAAGTGATACTAATTGATTGATTACAAGTTATTCCGGTATCATAGCCGAATTCAATTTATGCCATATAAATCAAATACTTGTCTTGGGTTTTGTGCAATTTATAAATATGATTAATACTTTTAGGAAAATTGTCTAAAACTCACCATGAATTTTTAACATTTCTCTTAAACTCACCACAACTTTTCAAAATGTCTAAACTCACCATGTCGTAAGTTTTTATTTTCTAAAACTCATATTCCGTTAGTCCACCGGTAATGCTTCTTAACAGAGGTGACCATGTTAGCACAAATAATTATTTTTCATGACCAAATTACCCTTGAATGGTGAGTTAGAGGAAAAATTCTTTTTCAGTTTTTGATTATCTTGTTTTTTTTTGCATTTTTAGTGTTTTGTTATAATTTCCAATGTTTTTTATAATTTCTGTTTTTTTACATTTTTCTATTTTCTACAATATATAATTTTTCCTATATTTTTGTTATTTATTTACAATTTTTGTGTTTTTTCTATAATTTTTGGTGTTTTTCTACAATTTTTATTTTCTAATTTTGTTTTCAATTTCTATAGTTTCTATAATTTGAAAATAAATTTTATTTTGTTTGCAATTTTTATATATTTTTATATTTTTTGTAATTTCTATGTTTTTTATGTATTTTATATTTGAAAATATTTTTTTGAACTTTTCCTTTTTTAATGTCTAAATATTAAAATGGTAATATATTAACACATGTTAATTTATTTTGTATATATTTTATATTTTTCTATGAAGGTTAAAATGGTAGTACATTAACACCCGTTAGTCAGTTTAATTTGAAAAGTTGTAGTGAGTTTAAGAGTAATGCTGAAAACTTATGGTGAGTTTTAAACACTTTCTCATACTTTTAGGATACCGATTAATTGATTACAATTTATTCTAGTATCATGGTGGAACTCTACTCATATTATTCTCCTATTTAATGGTTTACATGCGGCCCATAAAAGTTAAATCTAGATATCATGCACCTAAGGCCCTGTTTGATTTGCAAGAAAAGTGGTCTAGAATCGAAATCGGAATGGACTTATTTCTATTCTGGGATCTCATTCCCCTTCTTGCTGGAATGGCATTTCCCATTTGAGGGCCCTGCCCTTTGAAATCTCACTCGTGCTGATTTTATTTCCATTCTCATTCCCGTCTAAACGCAATAGACCCATTCCGATTCCAAATAAACAAAACGCATCCTAAATAAAAACTTAAAGTTAACATTTATACTTTGCAGTGTACATGCGTTTGGCGGGAGTCGAACCCGGGTCTGTTGCTTGGAAGGCAATTATCCTAACCGTTGGACCACAAATGCTTCAATATAGTAAAGAACAAATAACTATTTCTAATTTGAAATAACAAGTAAAACTAATACTCCTCAAACGGACCCTAAAGGGAAGGGATGTATTTATACATGGACTCAAATATAAAGGAGGGGAGCGGTGAGGAGTTAAAAAGACTGGGACGCTTTAAGTAATTATCAGAAAAGTGAGACAACACAGTAATTCGGAAATCGGGCGGGGCTCGATTTCTTGGAGAGAGTCTTTACTCTGTCTCCCGCTTGTTTGGGCCTGTTCTTGGGTTTTATTGCGCACTCTGTATGATCAATCAAGGATTTTCTTTCGCATTGGGTTTTATCTGCTCTTTACTTTGTCTCCCGCTTGATGGATGATACTTCAATCTCTGCCAAAATCGCTAAGACTAATGGCGGTATAGCGCACAACTCAGGCATTAACAGATGGAATGGACGACCTTTCTCGCAGAGATAGTACGAAATCCTGGAGAAGATGAAGACTCTTCCGGTTTGGCAGCAGAAAGATGAGTTTTTGCAGTCTTTGAAGGATAATCAGGTTTTGATCTTGGTTGGAGAAACTGGTAGTGGGAAGACAACTCAGGTTAGTAGATTGAGCATGGTTTATGGGTGGCTTGTTCATCAAAATTGTCCTGGATATCTTTTTATCAACTTTGGATTTTTTAATAACTCCTCGGTGCTTAAAACAATTTCATAAATTGTGGGGAAATAGTGTTTCTATAATTCCTTCTTTAGCCTTTCAAGTCCTAGTAGTTGGTGTCAGCACATTTATGATCTATCTTGGTTGATTGGAGGCACATTTCAGTGCTTCGCTTCTGATTGGAACAACATTTCATAATGCAAAGCAAGCCACTATACTTCAGCAATGGGTTTCACATGCAGTTGTCTACTTGGTTACTATCTTAATGATAATGTTCCTAAAATTCCTCGGTAACATCTTGGTTATTCTTGGTATCAAGGGCTTCTTCGTTGGTAGTCTTATATAGTGGGAGTCAACTAGCTTGATCATTATTATTTATTTATTTTTTGTATACTCCAGTTTAGATATTTAACAAAGGCCAATTGGTATTCTACAGATTCCTCAGTTTGTTTTAGAATCTGTTGGCATAGAAGCTCCA